GTGATAGTAATTTGGCATTAAATTACAAAGGGTATTATAACATATATCAGACACAGAAGAATAGACTAAGACTAGTAATTGTTAATGTTCAATTTGAATGGAGGCAAAACTGATGGAACTAAATTCAGTGGCAGTAATTAATGTATTTAGGTTGTCACATATTAACTGTGGAAAACCTGTTGTTAGAAGAAAAGAGAAAGGCAGATTGTATTTCTTTCAGATGGACAGGTGGTATTGGAGGAGAAACAAGTGAAATATAACTCAGTTACATGATGTTACTACTACTGGAATGATAATGACTCTTTGCGAACTGCATACTGTAAAAGGAGAAATTTCTTGGATTTCTACTTACTTGAATCTGTAGGTGTTCAGCACGTCCCAGAGGCCTTGAAACGAGACACCAACTTTTATCAATCAAAATTCTAACCTGTTACTTTCTAACAAAATCCTCCATTGCATGAGAGGCCCGTTTCTGTCTTTGGGAGAAGAGGAATCTGAGCCCTGTTGTAATCGCCACTTTCTGATATGCTTTTCCCCCTGCTGGGACATGGATTTTGCAGTCCCCTGAGAGAACACACTCAATTGCACAGAACACTTTCTTGAGCTATTTTTGCTGCCACACATCCCTCACAGCTGCATAATTTGATGTTACTAAAATTATGTCCTCTGGCTAAGGTCTTACTAAACTTGTTATAAACAGCTCAAGTAAGCCATGTGAAAGGCCTGAATAATTAACATTATTCTTTATGCTACAGTGGCAGTGCAACACAGCAGCACTTCCTAAATGTGGTACAGATGAGATACGTCCCATAGAATGAGCTATAATTGTGCTTTGTACCTACAGAAACACAGGTTTTGCCATTGCCCAGAGGGCATAGCCAGCAGCACAGAAACATATAATTCCTCCATCTTCAGTTTTTCAGAACTGCTCACAGTTCTGAAATCTTGCATCACTTGGTATGACTGCAAGGGAGGCAGACGTATAGGCAGGTTACAAGTTTGTGGTGACTTCATAAAAGTACAAGTAGCTTATAAAACTGGCTCACAAATATGAGCCAAACACCCCAGCACTTTAGGAAATACAGTACAGTTCCTGCAAAAGGCCTTAATAATAACAAAAGTTGTATTATTGTTTAAAAAATGGTAAGCTGACAACATGAGGTAGAACACTATTATTCTACACCTTATGCTGTGTTTTCCAGGTGTAACTAACAGCTCTCAGAGGCCAGCTCGAGGAGCAGCACCCTGTACTTGCCAGAACAGCCATTGGACTAAGGCAAAGATGAACTTGGGTGTGGGTGAGAGGCAAAAAATATCAACAATTAAAGCATCAGTAACAAATGAGGTATTGGACTCTTGGTGGATCCCTGCAATATTCCTTTTCCATCTGTATATGGCTCATGCTACCTTAGCTCAACCCTGGTATTGCAAAACCACAGGCAGAGTGAGAGAGCTCTTTCTGGCCATAACAGTGCAAGAGCAAGTAAACTGGTCTTAAGGATGTTGTCTAACCTGTTCCTACAGATTCCTAATGAGATTCAACAGCTTACCCACACAACTTAAAGCACTCCTTAATTAGTCTTATAATGTCTAAAAAGTGTTTCCTAATATCTAATCTGAGTAGCCCTTAGAGTGATGGGATCCTATGACTTCTTGTCCTAGCTGTTCATCCTCATGAAAATGAAGAAGTCTTGCTTTTATTACATATTTTACAAATCTCTGTGGTTGTATGTTGTGGGACCAAAGGTGAAATTTTGGCTTCATCTTTACATAATTGCCTTCTATTTACATTGGTTCAGTGTTTCAGTTTCCCAAGACTGCCTGAATGCTCATCTCAATTTATGGTAGTCCTTACAGTCTGGAATGAGGTAAAAAAGCAATGAGAAAACACTCTCTTTTGTCTTGCATGTTGCTGTGAAAATATCAGTGTCAGAGGTCTTCAAACTCACCTGTGTGGAGATTTGCACTCCATACAGTTTTTCAATCAAGTAGCATAGTTTCTTGACCAGATTTGCACGAAATTTACAGATGTTTCTCTTTCTGTTGCAATAAAAGTGTCAGATGAAATGATGTTAGAAGCCTCCCTTAGAGGAGAGACCTGAGGTTTATTCCATCTTTTGCAGCCACCCAGCCTGTTATCCTGTATTTGGGGAAAATTGATGTGATTTTTCCCTTGGAGAAATTTGATGTGATTTTTTTTTCCCAAATAGTGCAGTTCAGCAGTTTCTTTCCTCTTTGTCGGGTGCAAGTTATTTGGTACCTTAAGAAAGAAAGACTTTCTTCTTCATCGGGCACAGACTAACATTCATAGTCTTTCTTCCATTATTCAAATACTTAGCTTAGATCAGCTCTTGATTTTCACATCACATTTATCTTATTGTATTTACTCCTCAGCTTTCTGGTTTTATGTCAGGATATTTACAATTCTTTGATACAGAGCTAGGCACTTTTACACTTGTTTTTGGAGGTCAGGTCACGAAAGATCTCCAGTTTTAATCAGTTGTCCTGTACTTTCCTGACCTTGGGATAGTTTTGACATATGCCTTAGATACTCTGGGGTTTTGCGGGGATTTTAGAAGTAGCCTCTCTTTTAAAAATACATTAATTTTATTCTCTTATTCTTTTTCTTTACTTCATTAATGAGCTCTGTCATTTTTACAGTTACTTTCATAAAAGTTACCTTCCAACTTTGTTTGTACAGGAAGTTCTAGTCTATATTTAACATTAAATGCACATAAATGCAGTCAAAATTGCTTTCGACATGTTTATATGAGATTATGCTCATTCCGAAGATTCTCAGGGCACCCTGTGTCCCACTAAGTACTTCTCCCATCTCATCTCTGGGATGTCAAAATCCACCTCTAACTCATAGCTCTTGTAATGGTGATGACTCAGGTGTTTGTTTGGTTGTCTCCAATCAGCAACAACAGAAAATTAAACCATAAGGCATGCATCTTGTCTGCAATATGATTCAAAAACTTACTCTGTAGAGAAGATCTCAGGGTCCAACCTGAAGGAGAGGTGGGATGATATATCAAGTGGAGATGGGATGATTCTGTGGAGACGTACAAAACAAAAGTGGGTGATGGGGTAGATCTCATTCCCCTCTACACTGCTAAACATTGTGGGGTTCTATATGTTCCTCAGTAGCATATCAATAGTTAGTAAAGATTATTTAATTATCATGTCTCTTGACAAAATCAGAAATAGCCCATTAATTGTGCTGAGCATTTGAAAACACTACATATCAACATACTGACCCCATCATTTACACTGACACAGCTCCCAGTCCAAAATGGAATTCCCCATGTGCCTGAGCCCTGGATGTCATTGCACTGCAGCTGGCAAAGGGAAGCAAGGCAGAGACAGCAAAGCTATCGGGTGTTCACTCATGTCCCCTGTCCTGCAAAGCCAAACTATTGACAGCAACCTGCGTGGTTTAGGCAAGGCAGCACAAAGCCAAGTTAAAGCAAACACTCTACCTGTCTGCCTCATCTGAAGGAAAAGGAGGACAACAGGAAGAAGGCACATTGTCCCACGGTGACCTGCCATGCTCATCCTCCGAGCTCACTGCACATCACCCACTGCTTTCTCTGCAGGGCTCTGGGGCAGCTGCTAAAGGAGAAACACCATAGTGCAAAGGTCCTTCACTCATGAGAAAACAAAACCTTTGAGAGCAAAGTCTTTGCTCTCACTGTGCATGTCACCATGGCACAGTGTGAAGACACAAAAAAGTGAGTGTGCTGCACTGATAGGCTTGTGCTGGCAGAGCACCTCAAAGAGGCTTTCCCATGGAAATTTTGACAGACCATCTAAACCAGTTTGACTATACAGGCAGCAAAGAGCTAGAGTAAGTGATTTGGCTCTTGCCCTTGTCCCAAGGAAGGCAGAACAACCAGAGCCAGAGCTTTGTGCCTCCTGTATGCGGGGCCAAAGAGAGAAGGCACCCCAGAAGTGAGGAGTGAATCAAGGCACCAAGTTTGGAGATTTTGGACTGGCTTTTCCTTAAAGGCAGAAGCCTGAGCACTAGAGGGTACCTTAGAGCCTCTCTGTCCATCATCCTTGGTACATGCCAGCTTTAGCCTAATCCAGCTGTGTCTGCTTGCCAGGAGGAATTCTGGTACCTTAAAATCCACCAGCTTACTCAGCAGCTGTGTGCGGTGCCCCTTTCCTGGACTTCGCATTCTGTTCAAATCTGCTATGTGAAATTACTCCTAAATCATTTATCTACATTAAAAAAAGAGAGTGCTTTAATTCCTCCTTTTGTTGCAGGCCCTAGGGCTGCTCATGACCTTTGATAGGAGGTCCAGAGGCAAGCAGATGTTTCACCCATGCCTCTCAGCACAGCAGAGATGCTGGCACAGAAAGAGCAATGGACATAAAGTGATGCCTTCAGTTACCTCAACACCTTTCCAGCCCAGTCTGTGTTTTGCTTCAGTCCTCAAGCTCTGCTTCAGTAGAAGAAAGCCCTGAGCAAGAGTATGGAAGTAGGATTTGGGTAGGACCCAGACCTGAGGTTTTCCTTTGAACAGGGATCTTTCACTCTGATTGAGCACAAGGCACAGTACCCATGGGACAAGGGATTTGAGCAAGAATCCAGTGCACAGAACAACCCAGGGAACAAACACTGCTGAGTAAACTTTGAAGAAAGCCCACTGAGGAGTTGCACAGGCCAAGACCATCACGCTGGGGTAGCTGACCTGCCCACTCACTTTCCTGACCACAATTAGTGCTGGCTGCAGCAATACCCGTTGTTTGCAGAGTTGTCTTTTGAGTTTTTGTCAGTCTGCTTTGCTCACAGCACCTGCTATGTGAAACAAGCCAGTACCAGCTCAAAGCCTGAGAAAGAAGTAGCAGGTGTCTAATGAAGTTCAGTGTTCCTCAGAGCACAGGGGAGCATAAGAGATTGGAGGAGCCTTGGAAAAGCCATCAGAATTGCCAGTGGAATAGAGGCTCTGTCAGTGAATGGGGCTCTGTTAGAGAAAAACCCAACCAAAGGAGAACAAAAGAGAAAGAATGTTTTATTTCAAATGCTGGTGTACATCAATATTGCACCTAACAGAAACATCTAGAACAATACACTTGTAAGGAGCTTTCCACTCCTCAGCCATACATAATCCAGAATAAGATACAGAGAACAGTGAATGTGCACATATATCTTTTTCCGATGAGCAGAGTGTACAAATAAAAATAAAGTGAAGTACAATCCTTACAAAGCAAAACCCCTTTTAATGAGCGGCTGTGATCTGAGCAGGCCATTTGTGGAACATGTGGCCATTTAGCACCAAACATTGATTAATTAATTGTGTCTCAGCTTTTGCCATGCAAGATCCCCTGCTCCTTAATCTTCTGGTCATATCTAAAGGCAGAAGCCAGACAACTCCAGTAAGGACAAACTCCCTGCTGAGCCAGATGGCTGCAATATGAGGATTAGCTGAGTCCTGTCCTTCCTGCTTTCATCATGACTAGGGACTGCTCAGAACATGTTTAGCAGCCTCTGGTAGGAGCACTGGTGTCAACACATAGGAACCAAAATGGCCATTGATAAATAATTGAAAGAAGCCAAAGACTCTGCTCAGCAGCCTTTTTGTTTGGAGAAATTCCCTCATTCAACCAATTCTAAACTCCTCCGCAGTCCACAGAGAGGTGCTTTAAAGACAGGAAGAATACAAATGGAAGCTGACCATAACTTAAAGGAACCAGATTTCAAAACCAGCTTAGCAGATGTGCAGGAAAAGAAAGTTTCCATTACCAATCCTGCATCTTGGTAGCTAGCAAGAAGGATCAAGGGACACACCACCACTACAAACTCATGACTGTTCTTACCCAACGCAAGAACCGGGACAGTTTGGTATAGACACCGTATTTACCCTTCCTTGCACATCCTTCTCCCCAGCTAACAATTCCAGTAACAAAGTAAGTATCCTTGTATCTGGTCACATGGGGGCCACCACTATCTCCTTGGCAAGCATCTTTTTCCTCTGTGTCATAACCAGCACAGAACATGTTCTCAGTAAATACATAGCTAGTGGACTGCTTGCAAGTGCTCCTATTAACATAGGGAACTTCGAGCACCTTCAGTTTTTTTGAGAGTTCTCCACCATCAAATTCATGCCCAAAGCCACTAACCCTCCCAGATCTTTGGTTCATCAGAACTTCATTAGCAAAGTCTGCTTTGGGGAGACACGCTGCAACGACGTACTCCGAAAACCTGATAGGTTCCTTCAGCTTTAATAAGGCAATGTCATTATCATAAGTCTCAGCAACAAACTTGGAGTGAATGAATATTTTGTCCACAGTGTGCATTGATTCAGACGGCTCTTTCTTCTCTCTGTCCACTTTACCTGTACAAGAGCATTAAAAGGGTCATTAATGTGGAGAAAGGGTAAGAATTTTAGAATTTAAGATGACATGGTGTTGATCCTGTGTCCTGGCTCAAAAGGGAAGCAATGATAAATCTGAATCTGTTCTTTTGTGCTCTATTCAATGAGTCATAGCTTTCCTGAGGGCTCCTGCAAGAACAAACCTGGATGCTTCTGAAGTGCTAGGAATGATGAGCTTCCTGCAGAAGCACTGCTCTGCTGAACACATTGATAGCCAACCGGTCTAGAATATTTGACTGTAATCACTGCCAGCTAGCTGGCAGAGCAGAAAGAGAGGCACCTGTTGTTACAAACAGGATTCTCACAATAACAAGAAATTATAAAAAGCAGCAGAAAGGTAAAACACCTTAATGAATCGGGAGTACATCTCACAGGAGATTTATGGCACAGAAGGTTAAGCACAACAGATAGTCCCACCTCAGAGGAGTAAAAGAAATAATCACTCACCAACAACAACTTTGATTTCTTTGGATTGGTTTATGCAATGAGCTGCAGTAAGTATAAAATTTTCACTCAGAACAGTTCCACCACAAAACTCTTCTCCTTCCTCGTCTAACAGAACAGCCTGTGAATGAAAACAGGTGAGTGCAGAAGGAGCAAGTGCAGGTTAATGTCCATGAACTATGAAGAGCTGACTGCTTTCTCTGCACATTACAGAGATGCTTCTTACAGCAGTGTGCATGTGGCCCGCCAGGTCTCTCCTGCTATTGCATTCTCAGGTGCAGAGGCCACAGATTGACTTCTGCTGCTACAGATTCTCAACTGACTTTATGTCAAGTTGACATTTGGCTTCCACACGACCTCACTCCCAGTGCTGAGCAACGTCCCTGAGGCGCTGACCGGCTGAGCAGGCAGAGCGCACACTCTGGATCACCCCATCTCTTGGACTTTCTCCCTCAAAGAATGTCCCAAATACAGGAATTCATTTTGGCTGGCCCAAACTCAAGAGTAAAACTGAGACACGAGGCTGTATTTGTGAAGCAAAACGCTGGCTTTCTCTACTTTATCACCCTGCTCCCAGGTTACTGCCTCAGTGGATGGTCTCAGACAGAACCAAAATGTAACCTGCAAAAATGGCCTTGGAGACCAGTGTGACCCAAAAGTCGTCTCTGGGGATAGAGTAGGCAGCTCCATCAAAAATGGCACAAAGCCTTTTGTTTAGACACTGTGAGGCTGCAGTTTGCAGAACAGCACATCCAAGTGCCCAGGGCCACACTGTTCAGCTACGTCTCACTGCCACTGGCACATGGCACGGGTCACGTTCAGAGGGCAACCAGCTGGAAGGAGCCACTGCTCACCTTCCCTCAGAGACACACTCTGCCCCATGCAGGGCAAAACCCCCTCCATTTACCTGCCATGGGCATTGGCCAGGGGGACACTCATCCCCACCAACTATCCTGGTATCCACATATGGAGTCTTGCTGCTTGTTCTGTTGTCAGGCGGAGGGGTTGGGCTTTCTGTGGTAATTGCAAAGCCCTCCTCTGCGCTCGTTCCGTTTGCAGAAGTCATTTCCTGATCACTTGTTCCACTGCTATAGTCAGTAGGCGAAAGAACAGACCTTTTTTGCCTTGATACAAAAACTTTTCCACAAGGGAATTTTACTGTGAAGAGAAGAATGTTAAAATTGAAGAAGAAGAGAAACACCAGCATATTGAAAAAACTTCTTGGCAACGTCAAGGAAACTGAGTGGAGTAATGTGGCTCACAAAAGCAATTTGTTATTTTTTAAAGGATATAAAGAAGAACATCATGAGCATATGTTCGAGATGTCTGACCAGCCTTCTTACAAGAGTCTAGAAATGTACAGGTGTAAGTAGCACTAATTATGAGTATTGAATATTTTCAGTTTCTATAAAAAGAAAGGCTCTGAAAAGAAAGTTTTGTAGGCTGCCACTTTATGTGGTGTGTAAGTATTTAAGAATATTAGTTATTACTGCAATTAGTTTTCATTTGACAGCAATGGAACTTGGTAATTTGCTGAGAGGCACCTTGCAAAGGGTCTAAAAATACTTAGATTTTGATCCAATCCACCACAGCACCTCACAAATGGAAGGCTTTGGAAATACAAATCTCTTGGCCTCACTGTTGAGTCTATGTCATGTAGGATACTGGTGGTTTGAAAAACATTCTTCAGCTGTAAACCAACACATCCCTTAACTGTGAAACAAGTCTCACCACCACCGCTATTGATTTGTCTCGTGGCTTTGTACCTGTTGCAACACAGTGTTTGCCATCCTCTGCTAGAGCATACCCATCTGCACAGGAACACAGCACATCCTTCCGTCCATCTCTTCTGACACTGCAGAACTGCTCACAGTCCCCGTTGTTTATTCTGCAGAACTTGGGTATGACTATAAAAGAGATGGTGGGAGAAAAGCTCTACATAAACACTGACTTTCACAGAACATCTGCAAGTTCTCCAAAACAAAACACGCTCTTTAAATGGGATCTGTATCCCCACCTGCCGAGCACCTGAAGCACCTTTTAGGAACCCCTCATGTGAGTGCTGAACATCAGCTTGTGCCTTACAAAGCAGCTGCATCCAGCCTACAAAATGTACTTGCCAAGTCCAAGTGGGCCCAGTGGCCATGGCATGGTGAGCTCAGAAAAGCAGAGACAAATTGTCAGGGGAAGAATGAACAAAACTCACCAAGAACATAACTGTGTAAACCCTCACACGACTCCTCCCTCCTGCCCTAAAACACTCAACTCCTCATCACTCCCCTCCATGCTGTGACTACACCTCAGTTCCACGCTCCCACTCTTACTGCTGGGCTAATGATACACCCTCCCATGGCAAGATCACAGTGGCAGCTCTCTGTCACAGGTGTGAGCCCCAGGAAGGATTTCCATGCAAAACATGTTTCCTTGCAAGGCTCCCTGGGAAGATCACCACCACAGCTCTCTAAAGCAGAAACTTACCAAATTCACAGTTCTTGCCTTGATAGCCATCCAAGCACGTGCAAGTGTAGGAACCAATTCCATCTTTACAGTGGCCACCATAGTGACAAGGATTTGAACTGCATTGGTTCCCATCTGCAAAAACAAACCAAAACCCAAATTACTGGCAGAGTGCAAGCATTTTCAGTGAACATGGAAGGGCTCTTAGTTTTCTTAAGCCACCTTTCATCCTTCCTTTTACAATATAGGTCCTGTGAGTTGCCACATTCCAGATGGAACAAACAGTATAAATGCAATCATTCCAAACCTGCAATGATTCATCTGCATATCCTCAGTTTTGCAATCTCTTTTTGGTGGCTACTCTTTGACAGTGTGTACACAAGCCTTTTTTTGTAGCAAAGTAAAGTAATACATAGTGGACAGAGTCTACGTAACTTGCAGTGAATCCTGTAAAACCAGACAGAAATTTGTATATTGCAACTACTTGCTAAAACCCATCAACTTTTATTTCCTCAAAGCTCATTTCAGGCCTTCTGCATATCTTCTTCCTGCAGAGCTGTTAATTTTAAGACACAGATATCATCATATTAATCAAATGCTAATAAAACCCCCAAACTTTAAGACAACTTGCTAAATACAGATGAGCAGGCCAGATGTCTGTATTGTTTAGAGCACCAAAATTTTCCCACTGTATCCACTGAGGTACGAGCTTGAGCTGGAATTTATTACCTCTTACCTCATGCTGCCCACATCTATGCTGGCGTCTCAAGTTCTGCAGCCTTTCTTCCTTTACCAGACACAACTGTCTGACCTGACTCCAGGGCCCTAGCCACACATATCTCATAAACTCAGTAATATGGAGGATAGGGAGGTAACTCTGCATTTGGAGACACATTTCATGTAGCAGCTCTTTCTCTTCCATCTCTGGTGTTGACATGGTCTTTCTCATTTAATGCTCTGCTGCAAAAAATGTGTTTGCTCCTCACACATGTTCTCTGGGATGCACTGTGTCATACAAGAAGTAGGATATCCAGAAAAGCGACGCTTGCTTAATAATTCATTGCTTTAGACAAGAAAAAATTCTAATTTCTGAATTTTAGCACCTGTTCACCCCCTGTTTGGAGCAGGGTCAGAATAGGTGGGACAATTTATTTTGTCAAGTACAGCTATGATGTTTGTGTGGAGAATTAGAAAATCACAGAGTTATATGGGGTAGGGTACTTGTTCTCCTCTGCACAGTAAAACATTGTGGGAATAATTTTGTCCCTCAGAAGCTTACAAATGGATAGTAAAGATTTTTAATTATCATGTCTCTTGACAAAATCAGAAATAGCCCATTAATTGTGCTGAGCATTTGAAAACACTACATATCAACATACTGACCCCATCATTTACACTGACACAGCTCCCAGTCCAAAATGGAATTCCCCATGTGCCTGAGCCCTGGATGTCATTGCACTGCAGCTGGCAAAGGGAAGCAAGGCAGAGACAGCAAAGCTATCGGGTGTTCACTCATGTCCCCTGTCCTGCAAAGCCAAACTATTGACAGCAACCTGCGTGGTTTAGGCAAGGCAGCACAAAGCCAAGTTAAAGCAAACACTCTACCTGTCTGCCTCATCTGAAGGAAAAGGAGGACAACAGGAAGAAGGCACATTGTCCCACGGTGACCTGCCATGCTCATCCTCCGAGCTCACTGCACATCACCCACTGCTTTCTCTGCAGGGCTCTGGGGCAGCTGCTAAAGGAGAAACACCATAGTGCAAAGGTCCTTCACTCATGAGAAAACAAAACCTTTGAGAGCAAAGTCTTTGCTCTCACTGTGCATGTCACCATGGCACAGTGTGAAGACACAAAAAAGTGAGTGTGCTGCACTGATAGGCTTGTGCTGGCAGAGCACCTCAAAGAGGCTTTCCCATGGAAATTTTGACAGACCATCTAAACCAGTTTGACTATACAGGCAGCAAAGAGCTAGAGTAAGTGATTTGGCTCTTGCCCTTGTCCCAAGGAAGGCAGAACAACCAGAGCCAGAGCTTTGTGCCTCCTGTATGCGGGGCCAAAGAGAGAAGGCACCCCAGAAGTGAGGAGTGAATCAAGGCACCAAGTTTGCAGATCTTGGCAAGCACATTGCAAAGATGTTACCCACCAGCTCCGTCATAAGCACAAGGACAGAGCACACTTCCCCAAAGCCATCGATTTCCATCCCTTTATGAATGCTGGGGGGTGTTCTTGTTTGAAAGCAAACCAGAGGGAGATCCCAAGTCAGAAATACAATTTAATTGGAAAATTAAAATAAATGTAATAATACAGAAGCAATGCCATAGTTAGAATACAACCTGATACCATGTCTGTCTGTGTGTTTGTAGCAGTCCTATTAATTGGTGGCTGCAGTCCTCTTGAAGTGATAGATGCTCTGTTGAAGCAGTGATCCTGTAGAAGGGTTTGATCTTCCTCTGAAGGTCCAGTGGTGGTTATGCAGCTCTTGTCCTCTGGGAATTCAGTGGATAAGGTTGATTGTGGTGTTCCAAGGCTCAGAATATATCCAGGTAGGAATGCTTGGCTCCTCCTTCTCAGTGGAGCATCTCACAGTGGGATGATGTAATTTTAGCAGTCATACAGTGAGACCCAATGAACCATTAACAGAAGATAACCCCTGGAGTGATCAGGGGTGAGTCATGAAGGCGATAAGGAACATTGCCCTACCTGGTTTGAACAACATATGAAGACTGTGATAGAATACATACTTCTGGCTACATTTTACATTGTAACCTAAGACAGAGGGTTATGGGATTTATGTGCTGTTTTCTCTTGTTCAAACCACCCCAAGGGGACAGCTCTTGACAGGGCACTGTTGTCTGGGAATCAGGTGATGGAGGACAATCCTGACAGGTGAGTCACCTGTGCCAGGGAGCAGGACACAGGAAGCTTGTTCTTGTCGTGCTAGTGCAGGACACAAAGGCACAATCCTAACAGTGACACTCTGCTTGTGTTGCTCATCTGGAAAGATTGCCAGGGCACCCAGCCCGGCCTACTGAGACAACAGGGGATCAAGTTGACCTCTATTGTAGTTTTGGCACGCTGGCCAAGGCTCCAGGGAAGACACTATCTGGAAAATTGCTTCCAGTTGGACACTGGGCCTGCTGCAGTGTGTTTTCCTCCCATACTGTGGGATACCATAACAAAAGGCAGCTTGTTAACATTGGTTCCTTAGGGCAGCCCCCATCATGCTGCACACATGACAGATACTTACATGTCCCACTCTGGAAGACAACCGGCCCCAGAGACTTCACTGCCCTCCTGAGAAAATCCACGGCAGGGGTCCTCTAGCCACAGGGCTTACTTACCATCCTTCCTTTCTTCCCTTAAGCCCTTAAGTCCATAAGGACAGGCTTTTCCTTGAAGGCAGAAGCCTGAGCACTAGAGGGTACCTTAGAGCCTCTCTGTCCATCATCCTTGGTACATGCCAGCTTTAGCCTAATCCAGCTGTGTCTGCTTGCCAGGAGGAATTCTGGTACCTTAAAATCCACCAGCTTACTCAGCAGCTGTGTGCGGTGCCCCTTTCCTGGACTTCGCATTCTGTTCAAATCTGCTATGTGAAATTACTCCTAAATCATTTATCTACATTAAAAAAAGAGAGTGCTTTAATTCCTCCTTTTGTTGCAGGCCCTAGGGCTGCTCATGACCTTTGATAGGAGGTCCAGAGGCAAGCAGATGTTTCACCCATGCCTCTCAGCACAGCAGAGATGCTGGCACAGAAAGAGCAATGGACATAAAGTGATGCCTTCAGTTACCTCAACACCTTTCCAGCCCAGTCTGTGTTTTGCTTCAGTCCTCAAGCTCTGCTTCAGTAGAAGAAAGCCCTGAGCAAGAGTATGGAAGTAGGATTTGGGTAGGACCCAGACCTGAGGTTTTCCTTTGAACAGGGATCTTTCACTCTGATTGAGCACAAGGCACAGTACCCATGGGACAAGGGATTTGAGCAAGAATCCAGTGCACAGAACAACCCAGGGAACAAACACTGCTGAGTAAACTTTGAAGAAAGCCCACTGAGGAGTTGCACAGGCCAAGACCATCACGCTGGGGTAGCTGACCTGCCCACTCACTTTCCTGACCACAATTAGTGCTGGCTGCAGCAATACCCGTTGTTTGCAGAGCTGTCTTTCGAGTTTTTGTCAGTCTGCTTTGCTCACAGCACCTGCTATGTGAAACAAGCCAGTACCAGCTCAAAGCCTGAGAAAGAAGTAGCAGGTGTCTAATGAAGTTCAGTGTTCCTCAGAGCACAGGGGAGCATAAGAGATTGGAGGAGCCTTGGAAAAGCCATCAGAATTGCCAGTGGAATAGAGGCTCTGTCAGTGAATGGGGCTCTGTTAGAGAAAAACCCAACCAAAGGAGAACAAAAGAGAAAGAATGTTTTATTTCAAATGCTGGTGTACATCAATATTGCACCTAACAGAAACATCTAGAACAATACACTTGTAAGGAGCTTTCCACTCCTCAGCCATACATAATCCAGAATAAGATACAGAGAACAGTGAATGTGCACATATATCTTTTTCCGATGAGCAGAGTGTACAAATAAAAATAAAGTGAAGTACAATCCTTACAAAGCAAAACCCCTTTTAATGAGCGGCTGTGATCTGAGCAGGCCATTTGTGGAACATGTGGCCATTTAGCACCAAACATTGATTAATTAATTGTGTCTCAGCTTTTGCCATGCAAGATCCCCTGCTCCTTAATCTTCTGGTCATATCTAAAGGCAGAAGCCAGACAACTCCAGTAAGGACAAACTCCCTGCTGAGCCAGATGGCTGCAATATGAGGATTAGCTGAGTCCTGTCCTTCCTGCTTTCATCATGACTAGGGACTGCTCAGAACATGTTTAGCAGCCTCTGGTAGGAGCACTGGTGTCAACACATAGGAACCAAAATGGCCATTGATAAATAATTGAAAGAAGCCAAAGACTCTGCTCAGCAGCCTTTTTGTTTGGAGAAATTCCCTCATTCAACCAATTCTAAACTCCTCCGCAGTCCACAGAGAGGTGCTTTAAAGACAGGAAGAATACAAATGGAAGCTGACCATAACTTAAAGGAACCAGATTTCAAAACCAGCTTAGCAGATGTGCAGGAAAAGAAAGTTTCCATTACCAATCCTGCATCTTGGTAGCTAGCAAGAAGGATCAAGGGACACACCACCACTACAAACTCATGACTGTTCTTACCCAACGCAAGAACCGGGACAGTTTGGTATAGACACCGTATTTACCCTTCCTTGCACATCCTTCTCCCCAGCTAACAATTCCAGTAACAAAGTAAGTATCCTTGTATCTGGTCACATGGGGGCCACCACTATCTCCTTGGCAAGCATCTTTTTCCTCTGTGTCATAACCAGCACAGAACATGTTCTCAGTAAATACATAGCTAGTGGACTGCTTGCAAGTGCTCCTATTAACATAGGGAACTTCGAGCACCTTCAGTTTTTTTGAGAGTTCTCCACCATCAAATTCATGCCCAAAGCCACTAACCCTCCCAGATCTTTGGTTCATCAGAACTTCATTAGCAAAGTCTGCTTTGGGGAGACACGCTGCAACGACGTACTCCGAAAACCTGATAGGTTCCTTCAGCTTTAATAAGGCAATGTCATTATCATAAGTCTCAGCAACAAACTTGGAGTGAATGAATATTTTGTCCACAGTGTGCATTGATTCAGACGGCTCTTTCTTCTCTCTGTCCACTTTACCTGTACAAGAGCATTAAAAGGGTCATTAATGTGGAGAAAGGGTAAGAATTTTAGAATTTAAGATGACATGGTGTTGATCCTGTGTCCTGGCTCAAAAGGGAAGCAATGATAAATCTGAATCTGTTCTTTTGTGCTCTATTCAATGAGTCATAGCTTTCCTGAGGGCTCCTGCAAGAACAAACCTGGATGCTTCTGAAGTGCTAGGAATGATGAGCTTCCTGCAGAAGCACTGCTCTGCTGAACACATTGATAGCCAACCGGTCTAGAATATTTGACTGTAATCACTGCCAGCTAGCTGGCAGAGCAGAAAGAGAGGCACCTGTTGTTACAAACAGGATTCTCACAATAACAAGAAATTATAAAAAGCAGCAGAAAGGTAAAACACCTTAATGAATCGGGAGTACATCTCACAGGAGATTTATGGCACAGAAGGTTAAGCACAACAGATAGTCCCACCTCAGAGGAGTAAAAGAAATAATCACTCACCAACAACAACTTTGATTTCTTTGGATTGGTTTATGCAATGAGCTGCAGTAAGTATAAAATTTTCACTCAGAACAGTTCCACCACAAAACTCTTCTCCTTCCTCGTCTAACAGAACAGCCTGTGAATGAAAACAGGTAAGTGCAGAAGGAGCAAGTGCAGGTTAATGTCCATGAACTATGAAGAGCTGACTGCTTTCTCTGCACATTACAGAGATGCTTCTTACAGCAGTGTGCATGTGGCCCGCCAGGTCTCTCCTGCTATTGCATTCTCAGGTGCAGAGGCCACAGATTGACTTCTGCTGCTACAGATTCTCAACTGACTTTATGTCAAGTTGACATTTGGCTTCCACACGACCTCACTCCCAGTGCTGAGCAACGTCCCTGAGGCGCTGACCGGCTGAGCAGGCAGAGCGCACACTCTGGATCACCCCATCTCTTGGACTTTCTCCCTCAAAGAATGTCCCAAATACAGGAATTCATTTTGGCTGGCCCAAACTCAAGAGTAAAACTG